CCCCCATCACTACACCTATTAGTCTTCCCTCAAAAGTCAAACAACATAGTCTGGCTCTATAAACATCTAGAGAGTGAACCAATGTAATTCAGTGTCATGATCACTTATAGCACTGTATCAACCAATTTAAATTTTTGTTTGCTTCTGGAAAACCATCACTTTTTCATTATGTTCCACCCAGGTCAAACTTAAGGACAGAGTTAAGTTGCTCAAAATCACTGGAGGAGTTTAGTAGCATCTATGAGGTTTGGGATTTTATTTTTGTAAAGGAGTGTTTTGTAAAGGAGAATACATTTAATGTGTTTCCAGCTAGCATTTTAAATGCATATGCCTCTAATGTAAGACCTTAGGCGCAAGCTACATATAAGCATACCCATCAAGACTTTTTTGTATTCCATTTTTTAGAGTCTCATAATACAAATGATAATCTCCTTAGATGATGATGATGATGATGATGATGATAATAATAATAATAATAATAATAATATCCTGAGTATTAATGTTTAAAATCTTAAACAATTTTTATTATGCAAACTGCTTGCACCATTATACTTTTCACGGGGTTGATGAATAATCTAAGTTAGACCCCTTTATCACAAAATAGTAGCAGACAAATTACAAACCATGACCTGGATTTGGAGAGGATCTGAAGGCTGGAGAACAGCAAGACACTTGTCTTGATATCCCTCATTAACATTTTCCTCCTTCACACTACAACATTCTGCAAATCCGAATAGGTGTTGATATTACTTTTTTGTTTGTTTTTAATTGAAGTATTTAATATTTGGGATTTTTTTGTGTGGTCATATTATTTTAGTTTAGATTTTGTTTTTGTAAATAGCGGGAATCCAAGTCCTGTCTAGAAAATGTGGAGAATATGAACACTTTCACCTTGTAAATCTAAAGTCATACATGCGTTTCTCTGTCGGGTTTACAAGGCTGTTTGGAGAAAAAAAAATAATATACTTAATTTGGTTTTGTCTGGATATCTCAGGGCACATCCTCAGCTGTTGTAAATCATGGCAATATAATATATGTTAGGCACTGCCCCTGTATAATTTATCTCCGTAGTTAAATGGTCTGTCACTACTGTGTAATTTAGGCATCCTGGAGTTAGCTTTAAACAAGCTATTCCAAGAAATGGTAGCAGTGTAGCTGCAGCATTATGGAGCTTAGTGTGGGTTAACTGCTGAAATATTTGCCCAACTTTTTGAGCAGGTTTTACAATTCCTGCTAATCTCCTCCATACAGCTGTATCTTGACAGCTCAGGTGCTGTCTGCAAATCAGTTGCAGGTGAGCTCTGATATGATCACTTGTAGCTTTGCCCACTCAGCAGTGGCTGGTATGGGCATATGCTGAGGTTGCTGCACCCTTCACCCCTCTTGCTATGTTGGATCAGAAGCTGATCTTGTTGAAACATCATCTATTAAAGCCCAATTGTTTTGGGGTGGACCAGGTCCTCACTCTAGCTCTCTGTGTGAATATTTCTTGTGCTGGGGTGCTGCAGTGGAGATGGAGGAAGTGGCCATTTTGGACTGCTCAGCTTGAACAGGTAATTTCTAGAGCCACTCTCTAGCTTTCCTTTTGCAGGTGTTGCCATGTGTTACTGTGACTGACTGGTGTTCCAAGGCTCACAAGCTGGAAAATGGAGTAAATTTAGTGAGGAGTGCTCACTCCCTTCTTGTAGTTGGGCCTTTTTTTGAGGTATTTCATGTTTTCCCTTCTTAGTTAATCTGTAATTTAAAAGAAAAACTTCTGACTGAGTCTCTCTACAAAAAATGCACACAATTCAGTAGGTGCTATGCTTTGGTCTCAGAATCAAAAGCTATGATTTATATATAGCATGGTGTTCTTCTGTGAGAGTAAGGTTGGTTGCTGAAACCCACACTTGTCCTGAACCCATGGGAAAATAGCTCCTGTAAGCCAGCAGCATCTCTGGTGTCTAGAGTTTCTGAAGTATTTATGTGGTGCTACATGGATGGCTCTTAACAACACATAGTGATATCCACCCTTGAATAAAAGTGACATTAAAGAATGAAGTTGGTGTAAAATGGCATTGAGGAATGCTATTTGATAAATCAGTTCCAGGTAATAGTGATTTTTGGTAACGGTTATATGAGTAAGAAAAAAATGTGCAAATGGATGCTGAAGGCTCATTAGAAATAAAAAAAAAATAAATTAAAAATAATTAAAATATTTTGATGAGGTTTATTTATTTTGTCCTAGTGAAAAAAGGTTCTGTTGCTTCCATGTTACTTTCAGCAGCTGAGCAAGGAAATTTTTTTTTTCTTTTGGTTCATAGAAGGCCTTATTGAAAGCACAGTATAATTTGAAGCCTTGTAAGCTTAAGGTTTTGCACTTTTCTGACAATTTATTTTTTTACCTGTACTACAGGAATCATTTCTTGGGCCTTGCATGATGAGAGCCTGAGAAAAACATTCTTCTTTCTACCCCTTTTCTGTCTATCGTATGTTCTCTTATTTAATCCTGGTCAGTGATTTAGAATAATCTTTGGAGAGATACCAAGAAAAAAACTTTATATTATGTAAAATATTCCATCTTTGACTTTCAAGTGGTATTTGCCTAAGTGCTATAGGAAGTTTTAAAAACTATTTTTACAAGTCTGTGTCTAGTCATCTTTGAGAGCAGAACACTGATGTGTTTCGCTAATTCTACACATTAGCAGAGGTGTTCAGGTAGGATGCTGATATGCCTCAGTAGTTTGAAAGTAATGTGCTCATAAAACTAGACCTCTAGATCACTCTCTTTCTTGCTTTTTTTTTTTTTTTAAGCATTAGAATTTATTTTTATGAGGTATAAATTCTCAAAGTTTGCTATCTGACACAAAGGGAGCTGCCCTGCTGCTTCCTGAAACTCCTAACTCCTTTTGATTCAGTCCTCAGTACAGATTAAGCAGCCCAAGGGCAAGCAACCCTCCACAGAATTTCTTTAATATTACACACCATATTTCCTAGAACAGTCTAACAGGATCCAATGCAAGACTAGAGCGTACTATACCAGACTGTGCCTCTGCTGAACATCCATATCAAAAAACCCTACAGTCTGCTGACTTTTGGCAATGTTATTGAAATTATAAAAGACAGTCTCAAGTGTCATGTTTGCAACACGCTGCTTAGCAGGGTATGTTCTAGCTCCAGATTAGTTATTTTATTTATGTCTTAAAGGTACCATATTAAGTGTATTTTTCTTCTCTATTATAACAAAAAAGAGTGGGTAGGTTTGGATAGCATGTGTTAATCCAGATAGTTTTGTTTGCCAGGTGGTTTGTATTGTAAATTCTCTGCCAAGTTATACATCCAGCATGCAATGCAAAGCATATACAGATTAGCAGCAAAGATTTGAAAAGTTTATTAGTTGCAACCATTAGAGTGATAGATTAGGAGAAAGGAAACATAACTGGCAGCAAGTTTAGAGAAGACTCATTACTAGACTGGCTTGCTTTGCTTGTTTAATAATGTCTTACGAAAAATGTTACATGAGAAGTTCAATGAATAATGCAGCCTTCATTAAGTTATGTAAATGAATGTAACTTCGTGGGTGGGTTAGAAATGAAATATTTAACAAATCTGTTCACATCCAAAGAATAAGAGCAGCTGAGACAGTTTTTAAAGAATCTCAGATTTTAGTATTTAAAAGGTGACAGACAAGAGAACTTTGGTAGTAGGATATAGTGCTGTTTTAAGAGGTGTTTACAGCTTGCCTTTCAGTTGCAACATAGGCAGGGTAATATATTAAGTATTCTTCGTTAATTAAAGTGTTGTTTGTTCCTTTATCAGCTGTTCCAATACACCATTTCACTTGTCTACGCTGTTAGTCCCCCAGAGACACATGCAAAACTTGTGTGATTGCAAGGCTAGAAGGATCATTTTAGCAAAACTTAATTGTGGCATACTTGTTTGCCAAGTCATTTTGTTCACAAACACACAATCATTCATACAATGGTTGATTTAAATGCATTTTTTTCCTCCCAATTTATCACCATTTAGGAAGGCCTAAGGCTTCACAGGTTAAATTTACATAGCTCTGTGGGATAACTGCCACGACATGAGAAAATTATAAACCAATGACTAAATCAGCTATTGACAACATGCTTTCCTACCACACCCACAAATGCCAACCTTTCTTATGCCTCTCCCAAAACAAGTCCTTGGATTTGGGCCTCACAGCTTACCCAGAAGGTCAAAGATTGTTGGAGGCTGTTTTCCAGCAAAG